ACAAAAAAACTGACAGTGGTTTAAGAAAATTTATGAGAACTGAAAAAATCAAAACAACATAATTTGTTATGATTAACAAACTATTTAACGTTCAAAATGTCCCCTCCCCGTCATGTTCAATACAACGCTAAACCATATCAGCAGCACTTCCACAAAACCATTTGACACATTTCTACAGCCATTTCAGAAAATCATAGAAATCGTTTGTTTTAATTCAGGAATTGTTTTCGGTTTGAGCCTGTAGTGTAAACAATGTTAGGTCTTGTGATTGTGATGGCCACTCAGTTGCTCCACGTCGTCCTCGTCTTATCCAATTCAAATCGAAATTAAGATCTAACCATTCCCAGAACACATAACTCATAGTTAATCTTAAGCCATCTTAAATTACTGTAATTTAAGTTAATAAGTAAAAATAGGCGTTACTTTTGCCGCACACTGTAGGTGTGCGTGTGCGTGTGTGTGTGCGCACGCGCGTGCGTGCCCCAATAACCAAATACCTAATTAGTGCTGTTTATTATGTGTGTTTGTTAAAATTTAAATTCTTACATTTTTACGATACTTTTATCCTGTATATTGTATACTTTTTGCTAGAAAACCATTTTAAAACAGAGTATTTTAGACAATAATATTTAATAAAGTATAAATAAATATTGCATTTTCTTCAATCTAAAAAGATATATAATATATATATATATATATATATATATATATATATATATATAAAAATATATATAATATAATCTAAATGAATGCTAATAATATAAAATATTAAAGCCGATCCAGAAATAGAGCTCAATGTATTTATTACAGAGCATATATATAAATTATAAATAAATGAAATTAAATATACCAAATAATCTAAATTTGTCTAACTTTTTAGTGCTGATAAGCTCTTGTGGGGCGAAATGGCCATTCCGATTGGGTATTTTGGAATTTCATTTATTTGCAATATATATATATATATATATATATATATATATATATATATATATATAATGGATTTTTTTTTAATCCGATATTTTTATTACTTTAAACGTTATGCTTGAAATGGAAGCCCCCGTTTTTAAATTTTTATTTTAAACTGTGAATTATGTATACTGGCCTGAGCATTTGCCACGAAAAACCAACCTTTGATTCGGTGTTATTTTATTAAGATTTCTTGAGACCGCTAGCCGTAATACACAACGTTTAAAATAAAATAGAGGACATCTACTACAAACATGTCAAGTATCCACTAAAATAACTTTATATATATATATATATATATATATATATATATATATATATATATATATATATATAAAAGTAAAAGGTACTATATATATATTATTATTAAATATATATATATATATATATATATATATATTATTAAATATATATATATATCATATCTGTTTCTGTTCAGAACTATCTATCTATCACGTTGTCCTTTGAATTTTAGAAATTTTTCTTTCTTCGAGGAAGACATTTCGTCCCTAAACTTTTTAATTAACACTTCATATGTTACTGATAAAACTTTATAGAGGACTGTATACTTACACCATTTTCATGAATGCGTATAGCCTGTTGGAGAAGGGATTGACTGTGTGTAAAATAATATCAAAACCACGTCCCAAAATCATTCTATATAGATTCAAACGCAAGAAGTTTATTAGAGGTCGAGTGTATTGTTGCTATCAGATACAATTTATCACGGCTGCGGCCTTCTAAAATAGAGAATCCTTATTTTTCCGTTCACACTTGTAAAGATAATAAATAGACTCTCTTTGTGCAGTAAGGTGTGTCTGAATTCTTTTTTATGCAAAAATCACGTGATTTTCTGGTATGTTGATTTGAGCAAACAGATTTTTTATTTTTTTATTGCTAAGCAAGGTGCTGAGAAACGGAAAAAAAAATTCATTAGAAGAAAAGTGTGCTTGATTGCTACGTGATATCCATCCTCTTATATGGCAGGGAATGCTGGGCAATCTTCGACGGATGAGGAAAAAAAACAAAACATGAGGGAACAGAAACTTGGTTCTGCAGAAGGATACTGAAAATTCGGGAGCGACTAAACAGCAATAAAGTCTTAAAGAAAAATGGCAACTGATAGAAGACGTCTACTCAGAATCAGGAAAAGAAAGCCGAAATTACTTGGACACATAATGAGAAGGAGAGCCTAGAAAACGCAACCCCCACGGGACATATTGACGGCAAGAGATAGGGGAAGGCAGCGAGCCACTTACCTGATAAGCTTATGGAAATGATGCCTTAGCAAAGAGAGAAAAACTGCTAGAGGCACTCGAGATAGAAAGCTGTGGAGAGCCATGATCGCCTATGTCATGAAAGGACGCGGTACATAGAGGAAGAAGAAGCAAGGTGAATTTGTCTACTTAAAAAGACAGGCGCGCGACTCTTGTGTTTTGCAGTAGATCGAGCAATTACGAAATAAAACTATTACAACTGCTTGTTCTGCGGGGCGTGTGCGCTGAGAGCATGTATTGTCTCTATAAATTTCATTGGTTTTCGTCGAGACTATTAAATATTTATTCGGCCATTCTTCTTTCGAAAGACTTTAAATTGACAAAGAGAAATGAGAACAGGTGGATATTAAATTCCCCAAGTATACGGGCGCGATGCCACAACATAAAAATTAAATAGGTGTTTTAAAAGTAGTCGAAGCTAAGTTAGTTGTTTTAAAGATGACTGATTCAATATGAATTCTTTTTACACCAACTATCTCACTTTAAAAATGTTCAGTTTTGATTTTAAATACACATTTTTTTTTAACTGTTTTTACTTATTTTCTGGAATAAAACCTTTTTTTTTTAATCATTTCATCCCAAGAAAGGAAATAAAGTCACTTGGACTCAGTGTTAGAGAAGATGGTGATTTACTAAGCATCTACCGTAGCATTCAGTTATGCGTAAATATCCTTGGGTAAGGTATAAATCCATCTTTTCTTTCACTAGCTATGGGTTAAATAGTTGGATTTGTATCTAAAAAAAAATCATTGTTATATCAAAAGAAATTAGTAATGCAATATTCTCTCGAAAAATAAAAAGGAATTATTTTTACAATCCAAAACACCTTTCGATTTTAAACTACTCACAGAAGGTGGATAAGCCGTAAAATAGTGCTTTTTTTAGGAACGAAAGAGAATGGAGATGGTTTGAACATGTGAACATGGCATGGTTGGTCTTACCTGTGAAGGTTTGAACTGGCAGAATTAAGGAATATAACTCGTCCGAACATCAACTGTAGTAATAGCGAATGAGTAGTTGAAAGGCTGGCAATGTCTTAGCTAAGCAAAAACATAAAATAAACGACGGTTGAAATATCTTGCACTTTTTCATTTTTGTAATTAACAAATTCATTTTATACTTAGCTTAGATCTGACACAAGACAGAAAGAATATGAGAAAAATTACTATTAAAGAGAGAGGACAATAAAAGAGCAAAAATGGAAGAGAACCATGACCACTTACGTCCTGAATGGAGATGCCATTGAAAAAAACAAAAACTAAAAAAACAAAACAAAAACAATATTACAGCTTAGATATTTCTCTAGTGTACAAAGGGGTAGATATGTCTGTTCAACATTAAAAGGCACAGAGAGGCAACCTTGCAGCGGTGGGGAAGTGACTGGAGCTGAGCTGCCAGATCAGAACCAATAATATTGCTGATTCTTCTTTGGATTTTTATCAAGGAGCTCAAGGTAAATAGCAGGGGCACCGGACCATATGTGGCAGCAATATTCTAAGCATGGACGATTGGTAGACTTATAGATATGTATGATAGATTCTGGAGACAAAAATTCTCTCGGACGACACAGTGAACTAAATTTCTTAGTAGCTGACGTAGTAATGGCTTCAATATAGTCTTAGCATTTCATGTCAGCTTGCATACAAGTCGCCAGCAGAGATCGTAATGTGGGTGTGAATAAATTACAGAAAGCTTCCAAAGATTGTAATATGCCAATCTTTCAGTTTTGGAAGCGTTCTGTAATTACAGCGGTGGGGAAGGGACTGAAGCTGGGATGTCAGGTCAGGACGAATAACATTGCAGATTCTTGTTTGAAGTTTATCAAGAATCACTGAATATATAACAGAAGCACCAGACCAGATATGGCAGCAATATTCAAAGCAAGGACGAATGGTAGACTTATAAATATGTAAAATAGATTCTGTCGAGAAAAAATTGTTTAGCACGACACAGTGGAACAACTTTCTTAGCTGCAGACTTAGCATTTGATTCAGTGTACTTTTTCCACTTCATGTCAACCGAAAACGTTAGTCCTATCGATTTTCCGTATATAAAACTTATATAGAAGCTTTTGAAGCTAATGTTTCGTAGATAAAAGAAAAATTAATGGCAGTAATGTTTTTAGGAAAATTATATAGGTTAGTCTTCTGTTTAGTTTTCAGTGCCAGCATGAAGTGAGGTGGGGCTGACGATTCCCAACTCTTTTTATAAAACTGTGAATGGTATTTAAATATTCAGCTTCCTTTGGCTCAAGGATACAGTAGTGGGGTGTCAATGAGGATAAAACTCATTAGTAATGGTCTATGCGTCTTGTTTGTTAACCGTTCTACAGTACCTGTCTTAACATTTATGAAAACTAGCTTACTACAGCGCAGTGTGAAAATAATGGGACACACAGTGAGAACCGAAGTGACTGCTTCACAACCATTGCTCTACGGTAGATTCTTGCCTTTTATACTCGTAGATCTTCAGGGGGGGGTGCTGGAAAAGTCTCAAATAAACTAAAAAAAAAAAAAGTAAAGAAAAATTATGTTGTTTCTTTGGATTTCGAGTGGTGGGCCAGGCCGATAAATTTTTAGCACCGCCTCATATCGAAAGAGGAGTGATAAAACTAATACAAATATGCTCTCTCCTCAAATATGCGCTCAAGCGCAAATATGCACTCCCATCGAATATGCACTCCCATCGGGTAAATGTTCCCCTTGCATATGCGTTCCCCTCGAATAACCGTTCGCTCTTCGGGTGCTCACCTCGAATATGCACTCTCCCTCGAATAAGCACCCTCCCTCGAATAAGCGCCCTTTCTCGAATAAGCACTCTCCGAATACGCACCCTCCATCGAATAAGCACCCTTTCTCGTATAAGCGCCTTTCCTCAAATAAGTACCCTTCCTCAAATAAACACTCTTCGAATACGCACCCTCCATCGAATAAGCGCCCTTTCTCGTATAAGCGCCCTCTATCGAATAAGCACCCTTCCTCAAATAAGCACTCTTGGAATACGCACCCTCCATCGAATAAGCGCCCTTTCTCGAATAAGCGCCCTCCTCAAATAAGCACCCTTCCTCAAATAAGCACTCTCCGAATACGCACCCTCCATCGAATAAGCGCCCTTCCTCGTATAAGCGCCCTCTATCGAATAAGCGTTCCCTCTCGGGTCGTTGAATATGCACTTCCCTCGAATAAGCGCTCCCTCGAATTTGCCAGTCGCCATAATAGGAAAAAAATCTACGTTTTGAATTTCAAATAAGCACCCGCTTCCAAACGTCAATCAGATTCGCTTATATCAACTTACAGGAGCGAGACAAACTAAAAATATACAGTTTCATTTTCGTCTGACTATTGAAAGAATAAAAGAAAATGGTTATAATATATTCTGCTATTAAATAGAAACTGGAAATATTTACATTTCAGTTTTGTCTATTTTTATTGATATCAATCTTAAATCATTTTTTTTTCCTGCAATATTTCAGCTGTTCATTTGTTGTCTGTTATGCTTCTGCAAAGCGCAGCTACAGCCAAATCAACTTCACGACATCTTTTTTCCAGTATGGTAGAATGTGCAAAGCATTAAAATCCTCATTGTTGAGGAAGTGCTGTTATAATACCAATAATTCTCTCCGAACATAAAAGATAAAAGAATTTGCATTTGTCACAATTATTTAGGAATCATAATAGATTTTGAAGGTTTCATACTTCCTGGTGAAAAATGTTTTGCGAATCTTATTTGAAAAACGCTTTGAATTTATAATTTGTAACGCATAAACAGAATCATTGTAAGTTATCCCAGCTAACACAGAATGCTCTTGTAACGTTAGAGAAAAACTTGTATTTTTGTTCAGGTGGAAAACCTGATGTTGTAGTGATGTAACGACTATTGCAATTTCTATGTAACGCTGCAATCAACTACTGCAGTTTCTATGTAACGTTGCAGAAATGTCGTAGCAACATCATTTTGTCAGCTGGAATAAAAGATAAATCTATATTTCTGAGATGAGATATTTTAATTATTTACATTATTTACATAGAGGAGAATATGACTAAAGACTGTGTGTACGCCGTCCCGTGCAGCTGTAGTAAGAAATATAAAGAAGAATCAGGCTGTCCTCTTAAGGTAAGACTGCAAGAAATCGTAAAGGGGTAATACGAGAAGAAATAGAAAAATCAGGTGTAGCTGACCACATATGGAGGGAAAACGAAGATCACCGCCCTCAGTAAAATAATAAACAGAGAACAACACTGGAAAATACGAAAACTTAAGGAATGAGCACATATGCTAAGCCACAAAAATCTCTTGAGCCGACCAAACATAGAAATGAATATGGGAACCAGTAATACTGAGTGCTAGAGGAAAGCAATAATAACAACAAAATTGAAATATGAACTCATGCAAAAATTGATTACTGAGACATTAAGTTTATAAATCCACAAAATTCACACACTGATGTCCTCAAGGACACATGGCCCAGTGGATAAAAGCGTTGGTTGGATCCAGTGACTCAACTCAAAAATTTGTGAATTCAATACCTGGCTACTGCAGTAGTGAACAAAATCTTGGACAGCTGAGACATCTGGAAGAGGCACGGCACGTTGAACTAGATCAACCTATCCCGGTGGACGAAATAACATGTTCAGTTCGAAATTCCAATCACCTGAAGAAGGCCGGAACGGTCAAAGACGAAACGTCGGGAATATGACAATAAAGATGACGTCAACAGTCAGAACAATGAAAATAATGTAAAAGGATAAGTGTTCCTTTGTTTCACGGGGAAATGATTTTTCAACACACGCGCCCTACCCGCATAAACGACTCCCTAAAATTGGCGGGTATTTATATATAACAATGGAGTATCGGTTTTGAAAGTTTTTCTTCCTTAACTTGTACTTGAGAAATATAATCAGTGAAGGATTTTTTTTATGCCGGATTAGATGAAAGATAACCAGATCAGAGACGGCGACTTCCTGATAATACTAAATACATTATTGCTTGGGAAAAAAAAAGATTTTATTTGTGAATATTCAAATTTTTTTGATTAGACAAGCGTTAACTACATCCGGTAACAATCAGGAGGTTTTGAGGAGCGTGGAACCACCTCTTAATTGCAGTTCCCCCCAGGTTCACCTCGACCCGGGGTGGTAGCACCTGTTTGGGTCCCAGTTATGGGCAAATAGTTTACCCCCGTAACTGGAGTCAAAATACTATGAAAGTATAAAAATAGATTTTTATAGTAAAAATACCAGCAATACATTGCTAGGCCATAAAGAGCTGAGCCGACCAAGCATAGAAATGAATACAATATGGGAACCAGTAATAAGGAGTGTCAGAGAAAAACAATAATAACAACGAAAATTGCAATATGAGCAAAAAAAAAAACAAGCAATGATAACAGCAAAAATTGCAATATGAGCACCGGTAAAAATGGTTGCTGAAAACATTAGGTTTATAAGTCCCAGAAATTCAAAGACACATGGCACAGTGGATAAAGGCATTAGTTAGATCCAGTGACAGGGCCCAAAGAGTGTGAGTTCAATACCTGGTTAAGGCGGCGGAGAACTTGGGGAGTTGGAGAATTAACAGGAGATAACTGATAACTGACATCCATTAGCCATGGCACGTGAAACTAGAACAGTTTACCCCAGTGAGCGAAATAAAGGGTTCAGTTCGACATTCTAACCACCTGAAGAAGGCCGGAGCGTTGTGATAAATATCGCAACAAAGACGAGGATGATAGTCCGAAAAATGTAAATAGTGTCTACAATAAAAGACTTGCTGCTTCTTGCTTTCCTGCTTGTAGGAAATCCTCTTCTGTAGTTCCCGTCTTTAAGAATTCACGCGAACCATCCGATCCTTCTAACGATCGGCCTGTTAGTTTTCTAATTTTTGGCAAAGTACTATAGGCTCTAATTAACTCTGAATTGGTTAGGCATCTTATCTCGCAGCTTCTCTAGGTCAACTGCTTGATTTGTTAATAATTATTGCTGAAAGAATCTGTCAAGTTTTAGATAAGAATGGTGAAGCTCGGGCTGTTTATTTGGATATCTTGAAGGCATTTAACAGGGTTTGGGATTAAAATTGAAAAGAAGGAATTTTTGAACTGCTTTAGTTTTTCTTATCAAATCGCGAAATAAAAGTTGTCTTGAAAGACCATTTTGTGGCATAAATGAAGATGTTTTCTAATTCTTATAATTGGCCTTCCTTATTTCGCAACTTGTTATCCATGCTGATGACGCCACTATTTACTACTGTTTTAATTGTAAGTCGGATAGATTCGATAAGGTAAAATTGGTAGTTATTCTCAAAAACGACATACAATCTCCGCCTATATTTTTTGAGATGAGGTATTGTAATTATTTAAACTATTTACATTGTTCGGACTTTTGTTCTCATCTTTGTTGCCATATTCCCGACGTTTCGGCTGTTGTACGCTCCAGCCTTCTTCAGGTGATTGGAATTTCAACCTGAACCCTGTATTTCGTCCATTGGTTTAGATTGTTCTAGTTCCACGCGTCATGTCTCTTCTTGATGTCTCGGTATCAGTTATCCCCCTTTAACTCAACTTTCCTCAAGGACATATGCTCCAGTGGATAAAAGCGTTGGTTGAAGGTAGTAACTTGAACACAAGAGTTATGAGTTCAATACCTAGCTTCAGGTGAGGTGAACAAAATCTTGGTGAGTTGACTTAAAGAGCGATAACATGTAGACCTAGAAAAATATACCCCGGTCGACGAAATAATGGCTACATTTGAAACCTTACAAACTATGCCTCGTTCAGGAACTTACCAAGACTTTGCTCTTTGTGCTTGGCCTGCGAGATCCCCAGACCTCACCGTGTATGATTTTTTTCTTGTGGGGATAAGTAAAAAATCACGTTTATGTTCCACCGCTATCCATTAACCACGATGAAAACAGCGATCAACTCAGTGGATCGTGATATGCTGATACACGATAAGGAGGAATTCTCTTATCGCATTGATGTTGCCTGTGCTGCAGGTCGTGGCCACACTGAACAGGAAAATAAGACAGGAAATAAAAGTTTATTGTGCGTAGAATAATTGTGACTTGGTTGGAGTTTTCTTTTACTTTTCCTTATTAAAATATTGCATAAAGAAATCGGTTCATTCTTTTTGGAATAACCCTGTACTTTCAAAGAAAATGTATAAATTCACTTTCATATGTTAGGTTAAATTACATTCTGATATGTCCCGGAAAGGGATATATTTGAACGAAGTAGCTAAGTGGTTTTGGCTACTATAACCAAGTAGAATACGCTAGCAGTAATCGACTGGTATGCGTCGTAGTTGCAGGTAAGAAGTGTAGATCAATGGCGTAGTCCAATGGGCGTCGTTATAGACTTAGCTCTCAGACTAAGTCTTTTGACTCTGTATTTATGACGGACACCAGCCAATCATATTCCAGTGAGGGGGAACATACGTGTACGCACATTCCATTATATCATATTCTAATCATCGCTTTTAAAAACAATAAACATTACCGAGGGAGTGAAAATAGTTATAATAATAGCGGTGTCAATGGAAAAACCGTCTTTTTCATATTCCGTTTTTTTCGGGCACGAAGATCCAAGTTTACCAAAATATGTTTTTTTTATTTTGTTTAATTTTTTTTTTGTCTGTGTGTGTGTGTGTGTAGAATGTATATTCGGAATATAGAGTCTCTGTGTGTAATTATGGGGTGAAAATTTTCGGACTGAAAGAGAACAGCTTAAAAAAAAAATCATTCATCATTTGGTCACATTTTTGAGAGGGCGCGCCGAGAATTTTATGATACCTTCGTAATATATCAAGAGAATTCACACAACAAATGTTTATTTTTTTAACATAAGTACCCTTCTTGTCGCATTGACTTAATAAAGTTGTGAATATTCGCAGATTTAACATATATATAAAACGTTCTGATAAAGTTTCAGTTTATAACTACATGTCAGGCTACGGACATACTGATTCAACCTTGTATTTCTTTTCATTGCATCAGCTAAGTAGGAAAAATTTCCGGCGAGACCAAGAAAAGATGAGTCGTCCTATTCTGATGTATGATCATTTGGTCACAAATTTAGAAAGTTGGCCGGCCGAGAACTTTTCAGCACTCTTTCATATTTTAGAATATATGACTACCATAGTTTCGGAACACATACTTTCAAGATAGCTGAGTTCTATTTGATTGTGCGTGGGTATGTCAGCCTGTTCTTAGATCGTAAACTGCTTGTGTTCAAATCGGGTATTTGCCGTGCTATG